AAGTTTTAGGGAAAGGGAAAAAACTAAAAAAAAAAAAAGACCCAGAACAAAAAAAAGATGCTGAAATACTGCTAGTCATGCAAATAAAGGCTCCTTTCAGAGCATTACAATAAACTGCGGGCCCGAGGGGAGGAGCCGCTGCCTGGCGAGGGCGAGGAGTTTATGTTTTTGTTTTCACTTAAAGCCACAAAACAACCCCCGAAATGTCTCGGGCTCTCCCCGGAGACACCCCCGTGCCGCGGAGAGTCGGCCCGAGCCCTCCCGGCCGCGCTGCGCGGAGCTGCAGCTGCGCGCCCCGCGGAGCGGCCGCGTGCGTGGGGCAGGGCGCGCGCCGCCGCAGCGGACAAACACAACGACACCGCGGAATAGATAAGAAAATGGAATACTGTATTTGATTTAGAAAGTTTGTACATATAGATAAACACGCAGTTAAGGAAACAATAGTTTAAGCGTCCTACGTGGAGTTTAAGAAGAGACCCCCCAAAGCTGCTATGAAATACTCAAAATAGCTTTTGCATAAGATAACTACAGTTGCACCCTAAGCTTTTTTTTTTTTTTTTTTCTCTATCGCTGAGGTCCCTTTTGAAAACCTAGCACGTCAGATCTTGACAGCTAAGTTTGTGCAAGGAACACCGAGTCAAGGAAAATAAAAAGGAGAGAGAGAGAAAGAAAGGCTGGGAGGGAGAAAGGCGGAGGGGGGGTGGGGGGAGAGAAAGAAAGAATAGAGCAAATATCATATACAAGCATTTCTACACATATATTACAAACTGGGGAAATGACCGCATCATTAAGATATACATAATTCATATAAAATTTTGAAATAAAAATAAAAATCTGTTACAGTCATAACTATTCTTTTCCCACATTTATAACCAGTACCCACACAGGCAGTGACAGAAGTGTAGAAAAAAAGGTGCTTACGAATAAAATGATTGTCTGCTGAAAACAAAAACAGAAAATTGCATCTTGGCTGGACCATCACTTGGACTTAAAAAAGAAAAAAGAAAAAAAAACAGAGAGAAAGGGGAGAGAGAAAGAGAGAGAGAGGACCAACAAAAAAGGCGATAAACATTTGTTATTTCCCTCTTCAAGGAGTTCCTTTAATTTTTTTTTATTTTTGCTTTTTGTACAAATTCGATCGGAGCTTGTGTTTTGATTGTTTGCTTTCCTTTACTATAGAGAATATTTTTTCCCAGATACAAATTTAATCATCATCATCATGCAAGTGGGTGAAATGCGTCCATGGAAAAGCGCAAAGGAGAAATCGTGCTTGTCCTAAAAAGAATACAATTGTCACTTTCGCTTGGTTATTTTTCCTTTTTTTTGTCTTTTTTGTC